ATGTTTAAAATTCAATGTGCAGGAAATTATTACAAAGAACAAGACTAATTTATGAATCTTAAACCATGAATTAGTGAGTAGAATAGAGTCTAGGCACTATGGGTGGAAGGACCCATGAGTTCAACACCACATACCTTGAGTTCTTATGAAGGTCTTGAGAGTGTCTTCAATGGAAGCTTGGAACTTGGAGCAAGAGTCTCTTCAAACTTGAGGAAGGTTTTGGATTAGGGTTCTTGAGAGAACTTGAGAGAAAATGTGTCTAAGTATGGGAGAGGTGTTTTGGGAAATGTTTTAGAGATGGGAATTGAACTAATGGTATATAGGAAATAACATATGCCCTTTGGAAAAATGGTCCAACACTTAGAAAAAAAAATGAGGCGGGTGAACAGTAAAAACGTTCACTGGAAATTGCATTTCCTGCCGGACAGATTTTACAAAAATGGGTATAACTTCTTCGTCTGAATGAGGTGAAACGAAGTGCGTTAGGTAGCTAACTCAAAGGGCTTTCCATGGATATGTTATAGGCCACCCAATTATTTGTGTGCTAGGATATATGACCCTCCAAAGTAGACCCTCGAAAAAGGCTTTACTTGGAAATTTTGGATTTTGATACGGTTGCTCTAAAATTTGGGTTAGACCCATTTCCCACTCAATTTGACCCCCTAAACAAGAATATGAAGTCGGATTTTCGAAAAACAAAACGGATTTGTTTTGATATAGCTAAACAAGTTTCCGGTAACTTCCGAAGCACATTTTTAAGAACATTTTGGGTCATTTCAATAGCTTGTCACGACCCAAGCCTAGGGCCTAGACGTGACATGGCGAATGAGGAACCCGAAGGAACCCCAAACAAGCCTCTCAAACTTGTCATCACACTTCATCGGTCGCGGAAGTACAATCAACATTAATTAACGGGAAATAGGGACTAAGGGCAAACCATTTCAAAAAGACATCATAGAACAAGAGTCCAGCTCATTTACAAAATACTTGTCCAACGCACACCTCTACATACATAAATAGGACGGGGGCCATGACATACTACCGGCTCCCCTCATAGTCAAAATACAATTGCAAGCTAAAGTATCAAAACATAGGAGTAGGAAACATAACATAGCCCTCGAATTATTGAGGACTCACCAACAAACTCGGATAAGCACCGTACTAGCCACGTGAATGGAGAGAAGGATCAAGAGTAGCTCCGGTCCCTACATGGTGACATCATGTAGGCAAAATATGCGTTAGTACTTGGAATGTACTAAGTATGTGGGGTGCAACACAACAATAGACAAGGACGAACATCAAAGGCCGGGTGGCCTAACTCAAGACATTGAGATACCTACTTGGAAGTGGGAAGAAATCAACATGGATTTTTTAGTGGGCTTACCCAAGGCTAGAAGAGGCTTTGATTCGGTTTGGGTAGTGGTTGATCGGATGACAAAGTCGGCTCATTTCCTACCGGTTAAAACTACTTACGGGGCTGAAGAGTATGCCAAGTTGTACATTCATGAATTGGTAAGGTTGCATGGGATTCCTTTGTCTATCATCTCGGATCGTGGTGCCCAATTCACTTCTCATTTTTGGAGGTCATTCCAAAGGGGTCTTGGTACAAAGGTAAAGCTTAGCACGGCCTTCCACCCTCAAACGGATGGCCAAGCCAAAAGAACAATTCAAACCTTGGAGGATATGCTTAGAGCTTGTGTATTGGAGTTGAAAGGTAGTTGGGATGATCATCTTCCTTTGATTGAATTTGCATACAACAATAGTTATCATTCTAGTATCGGTATGGCTCCTTTTGAGGCACTTTATGGTAGACGGTGTAGGTCACCGGTTGGGTGGTTTGAAGTTGGAGAGGTGGCCTTGTTGGGTCCGGATCTGGTCATGGATGCTCTTGAGAAGGTAAGGATGATTAGGGAGAGGTTGAAAACAGCCCAAAGTCGTCAAAAGTCTTATGCCGATGTGAGGAGACGGGATCTTGAATTCAAAGTGGGTGATTGGGTTTATTTGAAAGTTTCTCCAATGAAAGGTGTGGTTCGTTTTGGTAAGAAGGGGAAATTAAGTCCTAGGTATGTCGGTCCTTATGAGATAATAAGAAGGGTTGGTAAAGTAGCCTATGAGTTGGGGTTGCCCAAGGAGATGGAATTAGTTCATCCGGTATTCCATGTATCGATGTTGAGGAAATGTGTTGGTGATCCTAACGCTATTGTACCTCTTGAGGTTGTGGGTGTTGTAGAAGATAATTTGACGTATGAAGAAGTCCCGGTTCAGATCTAGATAGACAAGTTAAAAGGTTGAGGAACAAATAAGTGGCGTCCGTTAAGGTGCTTTGGAGAAATCAACAAGTGGAGAGTGCTACTTGGGAGGTCGAAGCGGACATGAAAAGACGTTATCCTTATCTATTCAACTCCACTCAAGCCTAAGGTATTAAATCAAGTCCTTTGTACTCCATTGAGTCTTACATTTCAGCCCCTGAATCATTAATGTGCATATATGTTTAAATTGATGAGTTATGGATGTTTTACACTAAGTTTTGAAATCTTGAAGTGATGTTTAAATAAAAATTTGCATTCATGTTGGGGCTGATATGTTCTTACTAAGTCTTGCCTTGTACGTCTCTTCCACATTCGGGGACGAATGTTCCCAAGGGGGAGATATTGAAATGACCCAAAAGGTTCTTAAAAATGTGCTTCGGAAGTTATCGAAACTTGTTTAGCTATATCAAAAAAAATCTCTTTCGTTTTTCGAAAATCCGACTTCATATTCTTGTTTAGGGGGTCAAATTGAGTGGGAAATGGGTCTAACCCAAATTTTAGAGCAACCGTATCAAAATCCAAAATTACCAAGTAAAGCCTTTTTCGAGGGTCTACTTTGGAGGGTCATATATCCTAGCACACAAATAATTGGGTGGCCTATAACATATCCATGGAAAGCCCTTTGAGTTAGCTACCTAACACACTTCGTTTCACCTCATTCAGACAAAGAAGTTATACCCATTTTCGTAAAATCTGTCCGGCAGGAAATGCAATTTCCAGTGAGCAGTGAGCGTTTTTACTGTTCACCCGCCTCTTTTTTTTTCTAAGTGTTGGACCATTTTTCCAAAGGGCATATGTTATTTCCTATATACCATTAGTTCAATTCCCATCTCTAAAACATTTCCCAAAACACCTCTCCCATACTTAGACACATTTTCTCTCAAGTTCTCTCAAGAACCCTAATCCAAAACCTTCCTCAAGTTTGAAGAGACTCTTGCTCCAAGTTCCAAGCTTCCATTGAAGACACTCTCAAGACCTTCATAAGAACTCAAGGTATGTGGTGTTGAACTCATGGGTCCTTCCACCCATAGTGCCTAGACTCTATTCTACTCACTAATTCATGGTTTAAGATTCATAAATTAGTCTTGTTCTTTGTAATAATTTCCTGCACATTGAATTTTAAACATGAAAAGTGATTGTTTTGAGCATGTTGTGACTCTAGAACTTGAATCTAAATTTGGAATGGATATGGAGATTTTCATGTGGTATTGTGGGTGTTAAAAGGTGTTGTTGTAGGTTGTTCACTGGTTTGGCTGCATAATTACTACCCTATTTTCCATGCTCTTTGATTCCATTACATGCCTTCAAGGTGTTTGACAAAATGTCCAACTATGGAGAATTGATGAATCGATGCTTTAAAGCTTGAGTTATGAGATGTATGGCAATCCAGAGATGTGTTGATGACAAACTAAACTTGTGTATATGTTCATTCCATACGTGAGATTGCATTAGAGCCTAATGAGAATTTCCTTTATAAAGTGGTGCATGACCATGCCCGGTCCGGGGGAAAAGAACCGGACAACCATGTGAGAGGTTTATATCTCACCACCTAGGATGCTTGGGGTGTGACCAACATCAACCATTTGAGAGGTTTATATCTCACCACCTAGGATGCTTGAGGTGTGACCAACATCAACCATGTGAGGGGTTTATACCTTGCCACCAGGGTGTCCGGGTGTGAACGGCATGCCCCATCCTAAGTTGGGGTTATAGATTGGTTGGATCATGCATACACATATGATATCTACAATTAGTATAGATTTACTTAAACATGATTTGACTTCACTTTGATCATACCTTGAGTTCTTATGAAGGTCTTGAGAGTGTCTTCAATGGAAGTTTGGAGCAAGAGTCTCTTCAACCTTGAGAAAGGTTTTGGATTAGGGTTCTTGAGAGAACTTGAGAGAAAATGTGTCTAAGTATGGGAGAGGTGTTTTGGGAAATGTTTTAGAGATGGGAATTGAACTAATGGTATATAGGAAATAACATATGCCCTTTGGAAAAATGGTCCAACACTTAGAAAAAAAAATGAGGCGGGTGAACAGTAAAAACGCTCACTGGAAATTGCATTTCCTGCCGGACAGATTTTACGAAAATGGGTATAACTTCTTCGTCCGAACTCCGAATGAGGTGAAACGAAGTGCGTTAGGTAGCTAACTCAAAGGGCTTTCCATGGATATGTTATGGGCCACCCAATTATTTGTGTGCTAGGAGATATGACCCTCGAAAAAGGCTTTACTTGGAAATTTCGGATTTTGATACGGTTGCTCTAAAATTTGGGTTAGACCCATTTCCCACTCAATTTGACCCCCTAAACAAGAATATAAAGTCGGATTTTCAAAAAACGAAACGGATTTTTTTTGATATAGCTAAACAAGTTTCCGGTAACTTCCGAAGCACATTTTTAAGAACCTTTTGGGTCATTTCAATAGCTTGTCACGACCCAAGCCTAGGGCCTCTTTTGTTTAATGTTATTGTGTTGTTTTTTGTAAAAAAGTTTTACCTCTAAATAGTAATCTGCAAAATCATGAACTTTTGAATATCTATACTATCTCTTATTTTGTGTTGCCTTATATTTTTCTAACTTAACTAATTTTCTAATAGGAAACTCAAATACAAGTTACCATGTACGGTAAAGATATCACACATTATGAAAGAGAGTTTGTTCCTTTCCAAACATATTTGCTATCAATGGCATATGTCACTGAATCAACCAAGGCATATGGAAATCCTCTTCATGAATTAACTTGGACAATTGGTAAGGGCACAATTGTTGAACCAATAGAACAGGTTATACCCCCTGAACCACCATTGTTGCCACCAACGCTGCTAAAAGTTACATCGTTTGACAGTTTTGACTATCAAGCTATAGGTTTCAAATTCGGTACCTCTCAACATATCTTTACACTATACTTACGACACATATTATCCATTTTCATAACTACTCTACCTTATTAAACCTCTTTACTTTCTGCAAGATATTCTTGCCCTCGTGATAAATGGTAGCCCTCCATCATATGCCTCAAATGGGAGCAAAATTCATCATCATCGACTATCAGTAAGTACAATTTTACTTCCAAACTTTTCAAAACTGAAAATTTTGATCATCTTTTCCTTTATAGCTATATGCCAACTGTTTTATCTTCCCCTTATAAATTATAACTGATCATGCATTTTTCTTGAATATTTTTGCTGGATAAACGCTCACAAAAACTATATATATACACATAAATATTATATAAATGGTTAGAAATTGTTTGTTCATCCTATATTATTTACGTACTGCTACATTTTGGTTACTCTCCAGTATTACTGTAGTAGTAGGTTATGCCTAAATACAGAGATAGGAGTAGCACAAAGAAAAGAAGCAACTCAAAATATAAAGAGAGTTTTTTTTGTTTATTCTTTGATTGAAGAGCACTAAAAGATGTTTTGGAAATAGAGTCTTTCTTATTCTTTCTTTTCATCGAGAATCTAACGCTGAACAGTTGAGACCAATAGAACCCTTAAGTAAAGTAGTAAATTAGATTAAGACATTATTCAAAATTCTCTGATAATTAGTTTAGCATTGTAATTGACACACTTCTAAATAGCTTGTCCAACTTGTAACAATGCTGATCAATTCATATACAAACAACCTTCTGTTAGGGCAGAACACGACAACACAAGTAATGAAATAATAACCATGCCTGAAATATACCTAATTAAGACATTTATGCCACGTTTGTTCTTTGATAAAAGAGGCTAGAGACTTCTGTACTTCAATGTTCTCTTTTTTAAATAAAGTTAATCCGTTGCACTTTCAAAAAGTGAATCACTTGACCTTCATCACCTTGATCTTTCCTTGTATGTTTTCTATGGGTTGATGCCAACTAAGAATCTCACCTGTTTATCTGAAGCTCACGACAGTTTGTCTCCACTAGATTCAAAATTCTTCTTTACTTTCTTTTGTTTAATGTTGTTACTCTGTTGCTTTTTATGAGAAAAGTTTTAGCTCTAAATAGTTGTCTGCAAAATCATGGCAATGAAAGATTTACTTGATGTTTTTTTAATTGGCTGTCACATGATGTTGTGCCTACTACTCTGGCAATTCAGAAATGTAATAGAAATCAAAATGCTTATCAAAATGCCTTACAACCAAATTCCACACTGTTGCTTAAGCAACAATTGTAGCACCCTTTTATCAAAAATACTTTCTTCCATAAACTTTTTTCCATTTCAGCTTGTATCTATGTAAGCTAGATCTATTATAACACTATTTATCTTTTTTTCTATGTAAACAGGAAAAAACCAACAAAACTCACTCTCTGGGAAGAATTCATAGACCTATATGGGAATAAACTTCTCAAACATCTGAAAGAACTTCAAGATTTCCCAGTAATTCTTGCCAGAAAAGTGGTCAAACCAAAATCATCTTCAGGTAAAATACAGACATACTAACAATATCTCCTATGCTGAAACACATATTGCTCAAATTAACACCAACTATTCAACAATCTGCAGGCCTTTCAAATAGATTTGGTACAACAATCCAGATTGATCCCCCGTACCCACAAGCTATCGAACTAAAGACATGGTATTCAAAATACACCTCTTTCTACGAATAAATAAATGCGTTCACATCTTAACATTTTTAACTTACATATAGGTCCAATGAAATAAAACCACTTCTTAGCACATACATAACAAAAAGCACCACAGCTACAGGATCTCTTTTATTTGTGCCATTTGAAGAACACATTGTGCCTATTGTCATATCCAGCAACAATCTTTGGTACATACATCATCTACATCTTAAATTTAGTTTATAGATTAAACTGTTAATACAATTTACCATTTCATATATATTCCCAGGGCCAAATATTCCATGTGCAAGCTCAATTGTTAATATCCAATGAAACTCAACGATTCTGTGTTTTACTCTGCTCCGACTGCAAGCAAATCTTTCCAAGGAATTGGTCACAGAGAAGATTCTATTGTACGACCTGCCATCGATCAACACATCTCACACCCAGGTATAGACATATCCGTATCTTATCTGGATATACAATTGTTAATATATTTTTTACTTCTCCTCCAGTTGAACTAATTTGTTGCTAACTAAATAACAATTTTCAATTTAAAAAGTTCTTTCCGAACATAAGCATATTGAGTTTTGCTTCCGTAACAGATGCCAGTTCGAAGTAACCATCCAAGATGGTACTGGTTCAACAACAGCTATGATTTCAGACAAAATTGGAGGAGCACTACTGTCTCTCACTGTGGCAGATATTCATGAAATACGTTGCATCAAGGTAAGACACTCTACAGCCTCTTGCTTCTTGCTTAAAAATCTATCTTACATGATTTCCTTTCATCTTTCAGAAACAATTGTTGCCACTCATACCCGTGCAACACAAACTGCTAGGGAAGACATTCACTATCCAAATAAAGAAGCTGTTCGCAAAACACAAGGATGCGTCTTCAGCAAAATTGTTCATCATGTCAATCACCGAAGAAGATATTGCTAGCAACCTGGCATTGCCACTCACTGCACCAACAACTCCAGAAAGCAGCAAACGCAAGCTGAAGCAAATCATGACAAAGGAAGACTAAAGGTATTCTCTCTACGGGACTTTTAATTTTTATCCAACAATATATTCAATTTATTTTTATAACTTGATATATACTGTCATCAGATACAAACATACATCACAAACTTTCAACTGGCATAAAAACCAAAAGAAAAATGCTGCTACACACAGAAGAAATAGAGCTACTGTTGTTGTGCCTATGGCATTTTTGAGTCTTTCTGTTCCTCTCTAAAGTTTCATTCTTTTTACCTTATGTTATATGATTATACTAATGTTTTCCTAAAGTTTTTGTTTGTTATATTTGGTTGCTCCATGACCCCTTAATACTATTTGGGTTTCTTGTTTTGTAATAATTTACTTGTTGCCTTTGTCTTTTGTTAAGTTTAAATGCTTACAGAAATGAGGATTTGGATGATACTAAATGATATGTGTAAATTATGGCACCAAGATATTTCTATTGGGAATGCAGGTTGGTTTTCACTTGATTAATGGTTTTGTTCCTATAATCATTGCCTTCGCATGAGAGATGTTTGTGGAGTGAATAAGAGGCTAAGTTTTCCTTTTTCTGTTCTATTGATTTAGGCGTTTGTTTGTGTCACATGTGTATAGAGTGGTGTGAAGCTTCAGAGTTTTGAGCTGAACAAAATGTTGTGCATAGAATAGGTACCTAACTTGTCCAGTGAGTCTTTTCTTTAGTGGTAAAGAGGAGGACAATGCCTTGAGGATTCATTAACTCTAAAACTGTCATTGATTGTTGACGTAATTGTTCACATATTGCTTTTCAGTAACTTGACTCAGCAACTTGTAGTCTCATCAGAACATTGATTATACAAGGAGGGAGGGGATGTACTCTCCATGACCCACATGCTTGTTGATATTTTGTTCAATATGTACACTTTCATTTGCTTTTTCTTTTGTTTTTTGGACCCATGTTTCCTCAGAATTATGCCTAGATTTGGATGACAACCTACATGACTCACCTTATTGCCACTTAGCATATATTTTTTCAACACTCTATTTCTTCAACAACTGATGTTTTCTCCTTTTGTTATCAATGTAGTATATACTACTTTTTTGCGATATGGCTGGCACCACCCTTTTGTCTACTCAACTACTACAAATGTTGATGGCGGACACTTTTGCTGTTGATAGCGTGGACTCTGTTGCTGCTTCTTGCAAACTGTCAGGTACTTAAATCTTCCCATCACACATTTACTCCTCCCCATAACTACACACTAAATTCATGTTTCCCTTTTATTTCACAGATCTGGTGCTGAATAACGCTGTATAAGGGGCCAAAATGCAGCATTATGTAAATATCCAATGTAAGCGTCAACCATGACAACAAACAAAACAACTGCCAACCATATTTATAATATCTATATATAACTATATCTACATATTTGAATACTGCACGGGCAACTCTTACCTAGTAATATAAAAATGTAATTACATTTCGGACAATTGACAGCTTAGTGCACAAAGCATCTCATGTTCACATAAGGTACATGAAAGAAATGTAACTTTTCATGGCATATTTTAGACAGTAGAGAATGACGATGTCTATATAAGTTAAAATGCAACTGACCTCATATAGGGATCTACCATGGCCAAAGATGAAATCAACAGAGCCTTGAATGAAACAATTGTTGAAATAGTGAAGTCCCTTGTGATCATAAAGTGTGTCTTGGCTTCCGTAGAAACTGCAATTGTAAAATGCTGTTTTGTTCCCTGATATTCTTAGTGCCACTGCTTGTTCTCCTGCCATTCCAACCACATGGGGTGTTGTATTCTGCAAAACCAAAGTGCTACCTCCAGCTTTCATATATTCAATTTTTAGGTTCTTATCGTTAAATTCATTGAAATTTTAAAATTTGATGGATTCCTAAGATCCATATGTTTTATTTTATTTTAATTTAAAGTTGCCCAAAAATGGGCCTTTTATTAACAAAGCAACAGAATGCAATATACAATGTTCCAGGCCCGAAAGTGGCCTGGACCCGGAAAAGCCAAAATGGCAATGTTCTAAATCAGAAAGGGAGAGAAATCAAATAACAGACGAGAAACTCCTCAGCTCCATCTGCTGTCTTCAGCTGCGCCGGCGACATCCACACCCAACAGCACCTCCGACCACCAGTAACAATCTACAAACACCTTCGATGTTCGGCTTGTAATCATCTGGACATCAAAAATTCTCACAGATAACATGATTCACCACCAATGAAGACTTCTTCAACATGAATGTGACATAGTTATTCTAGAGCAAGAGGTTTGAGTCGGTTTTAAATTGCTGTCCATAAATTTCTCATTTCCTTATTATTACAACTTACAAATTATCCTCTCAACAGATTGAACCCCAAAGGAATTGATACCACTGTTAAAGAAAACAATTTTTCGGCTGCCAAATAAGGTATTTGAGAAAATCCTTATGCTTCTTCAGTTGTAGTTGTTGGTATATTTAGCTTCATCGATTCAGACCGCCTGATATTTAGCTCTGTAGCCTGTAGCCAGTGTTTCGGACTCTTCGTATTCTTAGGTTTGGCACATTGTTCTTTTCCAGTTCTATTATTGCTTGTGCTTGCGGTGGGATTTCTTGCATATTATAAAATTGGTGTCTGTGTTCCTGCAAAATCGAAAGCATAGTTAGTGAAAAAGTCTGCTAATGTGTTTCCCTCTCGATAAGTAAGCACCACCTCCACCTCTCTATTCATCAGCAAGCTCTTTATGTAGCTTACATCCAGAGTTATCAACCAAGGGACCTCCATATTCCATTAGAACCTTTTGAGCCATTAATGAATCAGTTTCAATAATCAAAGGTACTAGACCGTGTTGTAAACAATAGTCTATACCAATTCTAATAGCCTTAATTTCAACTTCAATAACAGAAACCTTCTCTATTAACCTTGATTCCGCATATATCAACTCCCCTGCTTCATTCCTGATACAAAAGGCCATTGATCCAGATATATAATAACTTGATTTTAATTGAACCATTCGTAACTTGTTATCTACCTCCATCGTCAACAGTACTAGAGCTAGAAATTTTAATAAAAAAATTTGTGTCGTGACCCTAAGTTTTTAACTACCTTTGCCGCTACAATAAAAAAATATTTTTAGCACACTGTGCGGCACTGATGATTTCATTAATAAGAACACTAGTTACTCCGTGATTGTTATTTAGTACGTCCTCTGTTTAATGAAGAAAAGAGGACAATTTTAAATGTCTTATTTTCTTTTTTAATCTGTTTGAGAAAGTGATTTTTTTTTTCATATTTAGTACCGTAAGTTTTTAATTTGAACATTCTATCTAGTAAGTTTAAGACCACAAGTCTCCCTTTATTTCGTAACTGTATGCCCAGTCAAACTAAGACACTTAAATTGGAATGACGAGAGTAATTTAATTTTAAAAGGTGGTGACAGTATATGTTAATGCTTCTTCATTTTTTGTTTTATCTGTTGGAATATTTGTATGGCAGTAGAATTTAACCTTCAAGGCTTCAACTACGCACTTGTAAAAAAATTCCATGTGACAAACGAACCTTATAGAACACTGTCACGGCCTTATGTCATACGTAGGGAACTGTTGGTGCATGTATCTTAAATTCGTATTTTAATCGTATGCATATTGGTCTAATCTAATGAACAACTTGACATTTGACAAGATCATAAGATTAATATAGAAATTTACCTCAAAAATGATATTTATGGCGAGAAAATAATCAACATCAACAGAAACAGTAGCACTTTGGAATGTCTTTAAAGGCCTACCACTGGTTCCACTAGCTGAAGTTGTGTCATTTCTTGTAATCCGTGGCGGATTGCTACTATCGTCCTGAAATGTCACAAACGGCAAACTTCTTGGAATGTGTTAATCTTTTCCCTACAATTTCACTTATTGTCGTCACAATAATAAAACTACTTCTACTAAAGTTTTATCCAAGTCATCATTTGTCGTACTCGTTATACCCCTCCCCACTAAAAAGAAATAAAATACTCAAAAGGTAGTAACATATAGTTTTCAATTTTATATATAGTGAAGATTTTATACACTAATATAATGTAGTTAAATACCTTATCTTTTATAGATAGATACACACGTGGAAGATATTTTTTCAAAGGTACAAATCCATGTTTGCTATAAAAAAAAAGTTATTTGCAACTGACTTTATTCAAAGAAACATGATATATAGTGTAAACAGTTCTTTTTAGTTAGTATGAGTTTACAAATTAAACTCTTTTAAGATTATTGTGGTGTTTCAAACTTGTTTCTCTTTCTACTATTGTAGTGTTTAACATCCAAAGATATCCATTCACCAAAGAAAAAGTATTTGGAAAATACAAAAGAGAACAAAAAACGGAAAAAAATTATGCATTGACTGGGGATCGAACTTGGATTCACAAGGTGAAAATGAACCCATTCACCACGGCCATTCATTTGATTAAAAGAGGGTTCATTTTGTTTATATACACAACTTCACAAATAATTTATATATGTATAAAACAAAAAATTTCGATCAAGTGAACCCACTTGAACCACTGTGGGTCCGCCCCTGGATCATAGAATTATAACAGGATTTCAAAAAATAAGTAATTTCTACTAGGCTTTTATCCCATTTTAAGGTTCATTATAGGCTTCTTATTAGTTAGAACTTTCCGTTATCTTGGTAGAAATTTGATATCTTTTTTTTCCGCCTCAGCAAATCATTTTTTCTACAAGGAATCGTGATCTCTTGTCTTCCTTCACTTTATAAAAACAGTTTAGTCCTCTTATCTACCTTTGGATTTGGATTTATACTCAAAACTATTTGGTTAATTCCTTGTCTTATTATTCTAATGACGTCCGTTTATCACGCCTAATCACACTTTAATTGAGAAATTAAACTATGATGAATTGTCTTCTTTGACACTTCTATAAGACTTGTCAATATGATTTAATCTCTTTATATAATATGTTGCTGCCTTTGTAGAAAATTGGGCTTGTATACTTAGCCATGACACTGATGTTTGTGGACAAAGGGCTTTCTCTTTTTAACTTCATCTGATCAAAGTATGCCATTTATAGTTAATATATACATTCATTGCAGAGGCGTATCTAAGGGGGTCACCGGGTTCACGTGAACCCATGGTTCCCTCCCGAGATCATATATTGTACTGTTATATTTTTGAAAAAATATTGAAATATAGATGTGTGAACCCACACTTGAAGTATCACATAATGCGATTATGACTGGGTTCACCTTTCTCCGCGAGGTTAGAAATTTGAAATTTATATTTATCTTGTTTTATTTTTCTTTCTAAAATTAGATAACACTTCTCTAAGTGGTAATTGGTGTGTATATATATAAGAATTAATTTTAGATCTATAGTTTTAAAAATTTAATGGTTTTCAGTAGTAAAAATCTAAATGTCGAACCGATCAAATTTATATTAGAGATCAACCTTTTTATAACAGTGCACCTATCATCTCAAAATCCTGGATACGCCTCTGATTCATTGACTGTCGGCTACTGTTTAACTAAGCAGTTAAAAAAGTCTGAGTTTGACAAATCAGAGTTTTGTCGGTTTGGAATGAAGTGTTTTAGTCCTACTGAATTATAGGAGTTAAATTTCATTCGTCACATCACACGTTCTGAAAATATGAAGTCATGTATAATGTCACATCAACTTTGAAAATGGAGCCAACGAGGATTGTGATGGAGTGGTGAGTATTCCTTCGTCCTTAATCAGATGTTTCGGTTTCGAGTTCTCGAGGTACGGAGTCGCGAAAGTGTTTTACCTCAATTTGAGACTTTTCTGTGTTAATCAGAATTTAGTCAGACTCCAATGTCTGTATAGGATAGAACAAAAGAAAACACTTTGACAAGGGAAGGATTTATAGACTTCTCCTCTGATTTTGTTTCTCTTCCAAAATGGCCACTGGTAAACTTTTATGACTACATAAATTTAGGGCATCTTTTGAACTATTCAAATTAAGTTGGTACAAAATTTTTTTCTTCCTTTGAGTGATATTTTCATTAAGAACACACAAATATCAAGTCTACTTTTCTTGTTTGGATGGTTGTTACTTACTGTATTGTTAGTTTAAATATAATATTTATTTTGATTATTATTTACATTTTGTTATATTGTATCGTTATATTCATCGGGGTGGATCTACGTACAAGCTTGAAAGTGCCACGACACTTGATGGTCTCAATTGAAACACTGTATATATAAGAATTTGTATAAATATATAACATGTCACCCAAAGTTAGAATGTACCGTGGAAAGTCCTTCTCTTTCAGTTGTGGTCTAATATGTTGCGCTCTGTCGGTGAAAACCTTGTACTTCACAGCGGGAGATCGTATCGTGCTATCTTGTTAGGAGGTCGTAAACAAAGGGCTTAGAGTCTTATGCTCGTCCAAGAGAAAGATGTATATAGTGTGTCGCGTTAGGTAACTTGACTCATTTCCATCGATGAAATGAATCAATCTCGATATGTCACGAATTCATGTTGTCCACGACTCTATCTGGATTAGTCCAGGTTCGTTGCACCTAAAGACTCAAAAGAGCCAACGAGCCAAAGGTATTGCTATTGACAAAACTCAATCATATAACCTATTTAGTCTATCCAATGTACATATAGGAATCACACTAATGTTCAAAGGATATGGTCATGTGGCATCCGGAACTTCAAAATTCTGGATCCGTCTCTAATATTGGAGATGGGTTCATCCATACCTCTTTCGGTAGAAAATTACATTGTTTATACATGATTGGATTTATTTTTTCTATAAGTTGAACTCCTTTTAACTTCTTCGTTTGTTTACTTTTTCATATTTTGAACCCACTTAGTAAAACTTCTGACTTCACCACTGATCACAGCATATGATACATCAATCTATTCAGATGTTAATTTTCATAAAAATAATACAGTACAATACAACACAACACAACACGATATGATACTTTAGGCTATAATTTTTAACCTTCTTGTTAAATGATTTCTCTTTCCTGTTGTGAATCACTGAACTAATAAAACACAAGATAGTTATTAAAAGAACTTGGACCACTTTTTGTTGAGATTGCACACCTTCTTAACATTGCTGCATTTGTAATGTAGGTAAGGTATTCATTGCTACACATAAATGGTATCAAAATGGTATCACATGACAATCACCATTAGCTTTTAATTTCTTGCTAGGCGCAGCAATTTTGTGTTCAATTTTCTCAAACACATGTTTGTTACCTTTTATTAGGACTTATCTCTTTAATAAATTTGTACACTTGAATTGATTGATGATATTTGAGTCAAATCGACTAGCCGCAATACAAGACTTTATTTCAATAAAAAGAAAAAAAAACTTTAGTTTGTGTAATTATTCTAGTAGTATTTTGTATGAAAAAATAAGAACCACATAATATAGAGAGGATAAGTCGACATCGTCCAAGTAAGAGTGGGGAATTTTGTAATGAAAATGCAAACAACGGCTTAAAGTGCCGCCTTTCTTACCAACTTAGCTAACTCTAAAAAAAAAAAAAAAAAAAAATCCCATGTTTTATTTGTACAGTTTTGTTAACTCTTTGGAAATAGTTGTTTTGCTACATGTGTTTCAGTCAACCACGTTGTATTTATCGAGAATCTTGGAAAAATTGACACCCTCCTTTTTATATTTTGTTTTTATTTTCATATAACCATAATATTTCACTTGTTTTTTTTTAAAAGAAAAAAATATATTACATGAAAAACGAAGGATGGGGATGAAAATTAAAAGTTTAGATAACTAACTAATTTAAATATATATATGCTAGTTGATTATTTTCTTTTTTTGAACTTGAACTCTGATCCTCAAAATATAAACTTATTTAATTAACGGTTAGACCATGACCTTGCTTACCTAAAAATACTTTCAAAATTGAACTCTATTATTTTTTTATCAACACTTAATATTTGTGCGAAGAAAATGAATGTAACATATGTATTTTGCTTATAAACTTTTATTATTTAATAATCATTATATTCATTTTAATTTTGGACTCTTATAATTCAATGAAATGAGTTGTTTTAGACTTTTGGCCTTTGGGTGTAAACACTATTGTTAAGTATTTTCTGTTAAAAGTTAAAATTCATCCCCGGGCCACAGCAACATTTGATAATTTTTGTGTCCTTGTCGGAAATTTTATAACCGCCTTTTTTCCTCTTAAAAAATTTTAAAAAATTATCAGATTGACCCTATATTTTATAGGACCTGCGAATACTCCACGCTACTTTTTTTTATTTATTTAAATCTAGATACTATGACTTTAATCCTATTTAATTAACCATAGATGTTTAATATTCGTTATTGTAGCCTAAACCAAAAAACCGTTTTGGTCACCTTAATGGACGACTTTACTTTTAATTTCTAACCGACTTAGGGATTAAACTTTCCAAATACATGAAAAAAGTCATCTATTTTTCTTGTTAATTTCTCAACCTTTTTATTTGGTTTAAGACTTTTTGAGGTTTAACTTTATAGGCAAGTTCCACGCAGCATCTACTTCTAGTAGTACTAATATAAAGTTGTACTAGACTTTGAAACTTGTACACTTAAAAAATCTGACCTCTTTAGCTTGCCTTCAAACAATAATATTTCTACCAAGTCTCTTAATATGGAAACAGAAATGTCTTTCTTGTCTAAAAGTTCAAGTAGTAGTTCTAGTGATGATGATATTGAATTGAGGAGAGGTCCATGGACTATTGAAGAAGATAAACTCCTTGTTCATTACATTACTAATCATGGCGAAGGACGATGGAATATGCTAGCGAAACATGCTGGTAATTCTTCTATATAGTCATTTTTGAGTCTTTCACTTTTGCGCGTAATTTTTGTTTTTTTGGGGTTTTTTAAAACTAAAGTTAGCACCATATGTTCTTTTCTATAGGATTGAAGAGAACAGGCAAGAGTTGCAGATTGAGATGGTTGAATTATCTTAAACCGGACGTTAAACGGGGAAATCTCACTCCTCAGGAACAGCTCCTGATTCTTGAACTTCATTCCAAATTGGGCAACAGGTATATTTCTTCTTTCAAATAGACTATTGCAATCAGGGGTGGAGCTAGGGAACCTCCTCGATAGACAATTACAATCTCCTCAGCTTGTGACTCTCTTAGTGAAAGTTCTGGCTCCCGTGCCATTGCAATAGATCTATTACAACTGTTTTAGAATTGTTGTCATATGCCTGATTTCTAGTACTTAGTATGTATATGCGATTACTTAAAAATCCTGTTTTTGATCAAAATTCTGTTTTTCTTACTAATAGATGGTCAAAAATCGCGCAATATCTACCTGGAAGAACGGACAATGAAATCAAGAATTACTGGAGAACGAGAGTGCAGAAACAAGCTAGGAATCTGAAGATTGACTCGAATAGTGCAGCATTTCAAGAAATGATTCGTTCTTTGTGGATCCCGCGGCTTCTTCAGAAGATACAGAGCTCCTCTGTTCCGCCATCAATTCAGGGTTCACAATCATCAACCCCTCCAGGTTTCAGCACCAGCACCAGCAGTAATTCGAGTTCACATTCCGGTAGTATCTATAATTCTCCCAAAATTACTTCAGAATGTCCTCAAATTACACCACGCGAGATTGATGATTCTGACTTAAATTCATTCGTCAAGGCTCATTTTCCATTTGACAACAGTTATGAGATGGATAATTTTGGACAATTCGAAACTGGAAACTTTAATGAGGTGATGGATTATGATCAAATTAGTGGAGATCAAAACAAGTTGAAAGGTGATGTTATAGCTGACAGTTTTTGGAGCAATATGGATGATTTTTTCTACCAAAAAACAGGATATGAGCAATTGTAAATAGTACTAGTAGTAGTTGATATGGCTTGATTGAAGCAAGTTTTTTAAAAAAACTGTTTCTTTTCTTAAGGAGAGAGTAGTACTCCTTTCCACGACTTTTATTTGTTCAGTTTAGAAAATAAGGTAGAATTTCTCAATGATATCCTAATTATTATTATTTTTAACTATAATCATTTCAAAACATTGAATTTATTATATTTAAAGTGTAATAATAAAATTGTCATTTTATTTATTGCTCGTTAAAGAATGTGTTAAATCAATACCGAACAAGTAAAAATGACCCGATAGTATTTTCCTGTTTCGACACTTCCATTTCGTAATAGAGGGGATTGATAGAAAGGTCATTGAAAGCAAGAATATTGTTCCTTTTGAAAATTCCTAGTTTCCTCCTTTGGTTCTTATTGAGTCAGTTCATGTAAACAGGGAGATTCATTAATTGATACAAGACTTTTACTGTGTGTGATAGAAAAATGAAAGCTCCGTTTCATATTAGTTGGTCTTTTTTTTTACAGGCATAAATTATAAATAAAAAGATAATTTTACTAGCTTATCCCTAATAAAACTTTTTAAAATTTTATAAACAAATGTGAATACTTTCAAAAAAGTTAATTACAAGAGTAATATAACAAAAATTAAATGAATACTTTCTTGATTTAGTAAGGTAAACTACTAATATGAAATAACTATTTTTAGTAAGATGATCAGTTAATATGAGATATCAGATTATTTGAAAAGGAAGTGTTCTACGTGGATCATAATTATTTGAAAGATACTATTTTTGGTAGCCTTCTAGCATAATTCTTGACTTATTTTTTTTTTTTAATTAGGATCATGCTTTTTGTTAGTTGATGTTAGGTCATGTCATGTCTAATTACATCCTTAATTTTTCTTTGGTCTATCTCTACTTCTCTTAACTTTTTCTACAGTCAACTTCTCACACCTTTTTACTGGCACATTCACGTATATCCTTTTTACATGTTTAAATAATCTCAATCTTGTTTCCCTCATCTTATTTGTTATATATGGTGACACTTTCACCTTAGTCCCTATAACTTCATTCCTAATAATATCTTTCAAAGTATATATTGTGCCCACACATTAATAAGTATATCCTCATTTATGCTATACTCATCTTTTAAGCGTAAATATTTTTGACTTATCAACACTCTACTACATATAATAATCTTGATCTAACTAGTCCTCTATAAAATTTATTTGACGATACATTCTTATGACAAATTATCCCATAAGTAAATCTCTATTTTACTCATCCACTCTAATACGATGTGTCATGTGTTACCTCATAACAACTTTAAAACTCGAAGAAAATATCTCTTATCATATTTCAACAACTTTTACAACTAAATGAAGTCACTCCAACTTTTTTAGAAAGTCTTGAGATTCCACAACAAAAAAAAAACAGATTAAAAATTTGGAAACAGAAAAATATCAAAGGAGGAAGATATTTCCGGCCGCCCATTAAAGAATTGTAAGACTTGCATTTTTCTTTTTTTTTTCTTCGGTCTGTTATGTATATAATGTATGAAACATTTTACAGTAATAATTACTATCAACTCTTAGTGGATGACTGAGTCTAAGCTTTGGAACAATTCAATCTCATCATTGTACAAGATTTTTTAAATGAAAAAAGGAAGAAATAATTTTTACAAACATTTTAATTTATTTCTAGTTTCTAGTGCGTCTAGTATCACAAGTTTCTTTCACATTTTTCGTTATATTTAATAGTCAAAACTGATTAAATATTTGATAAAAGTGTTCATTCTTGTTGTTGATGGGAGATGACATATATTTCATAGAATTAATTAAAATGTGTAAAAGTTGATCCGGACACCATAAGTCATAAAAAAATTTTATTCCTTACAAACTTAAAGGATGAAAACTGCTCATGAGAAGTATACTTAAGAGATCATTTTAAACATATATGGAACTTTTTCGTCATTTGCACCTATAATTCTCCTGAAATTATACATAATCTTAGAAATGGATGCAAGGAATTGAGTATTTTCAAAATAGTACAAAAATAATGATATGATGAGAATTAAGTTGACTTGGTGCATAAAAAGATTTTGAAAAAAAAAAGGCACAACTTGTCGATTTTCTTTGTAAAAGAATTTGACTATTCTGTTTCCATTTTCCAAATTTCACCACAAATGGAAACATTTTTTCCATACACTTCTCGTCTCTGCCATAATATTCAGAGAAATGGAGATTCATTCAACACTATTTTCATTTCTTTTCATACTTACAATATTGAATTTTAAAACAAATGCCCCAATATGGGACTTTCCGATGTGAATCCAAATTTAATCGGGCTTCAATGTAAGTATGGAACACCAGGTGAAAAATTAAAAAAAAAATTAAAACAAATGTGAGTTAATTACTTAAAAAGTCATCTGAGCTGTGAAACTAACACAGTAATGTCACATTTGATTTTTTCCTAACAATGAAAATAATGTGGCTTGTCATGTTACGTACTCATCTAACTTATCGAATTTTAAAAGAATCCTTTTTTATTTTTTAATAAACTTTGTGCGATGAATGAAATGTAGGAAGCGGGTATTTTATTTCATACATTGCAAGACGATGTTTTAAACAACCACCCCATCTAAAAGTGGATTTCTCCCTAATTAATTAATGTATAAGGGGTTGTTTGATTGCTGGTTAAAGTTAGACAATCGATATATATTAGTAATGCATGATTTGTAAATAAATGCGGTTATTTATAAATAGAATAGAAGAAAATTATATTTTTAGATTTTTTATGGGTAAAAATTAAAATCTCTTACGAAAAGATCATCAAAATTAAATAAAAATGTAAATGACTTACAAAATCAATTCTTTTTGAATTAGTTGTGCAATGTTTATAATTTATCATGTATTAGTTATTTTAAAACCGTTTAATTTTGTATGATTAATATATTAGTAATTTGAGATTGTAAACCGGTAATCAAATATCGTATTTGTTGAATTTTATACATGATAATTCTAAAGCCATCAAATATGATAGTACAAGCTATGTTTGTTTTAATACATGAATACTTCACTTAGGGGTTATTTCATATTCGGTAGCTGGTTAAAAGCTAAGTTATTCATGTATTAAATCTTGCATAAGGGAAATTATATTTGATAACATTTTTTTGCTATATATAAAATCAACACACCTACCATATTTGATTTGCAAAATGAAAATCCGCATAACTAATACATGTATAAATTATGAGAAAATTTGTGTAATATTTTATGCATGATATAAGATGGAATAATTAATATTTAAATAACTAAATCCTATATAAAATAATACATGTATTTTTTGCACAACTAATCCTTCTATTATTATATAACACTTATAAAAAACAATACCTAAACTTTTTCATAATTAATTTCTATATTATTATTACTACCTACGTAAGTTTAAGGTTATAGACAAATGGACGTCCACTTTTTATCCGTATTGACCAATAAACATGATGGGCTAGGTAGAAACATTGGACCTCGAAAATATTCAAAAGAATTACAGAATGGGCTGAAATTCTGTTAATTCGAGTTCGGCCCACTCAATCCAAACCGCACAACGTCTCATCCGGCCCGTTTATTATTCCTTTATAATACATTTAACTCTCCAAACCTAGGGTTTTTATCTTCTGTCAGAGCAAGTGATTCCGGCACCCTCACAGATCTGTCCGCCGTCGCCGAACGCTCAGAGGTACTCTTCTCCTCCATTTTTCTTACCTCTTCAAACTGACTTCTCTTCAATTATATGCCAAATTTCAATTTCGTTTTTAGCGGCGTCTTGCAAGTATGATAATCATCGTAAACCGAAGGATATGATACCTGAGAATGTTCAGAAATATATATGTTTTCTATTGCATTTTACTCCTTTGATGATAAGTATATGAATTAATTCAATTGATGTTTGTCATCTGATTGCTGAAGTAGTAGATATTAATAAAGAACGAACGGCCAATGCATAAATATCTGTAATATAGTAATGTTTCTGCGATTTCATTGATGAAATAATTGAAGCAGCTAGACTAGATTTTATATGTCAAAGTCCCGTTCATTTCGCATCACCGGGATAGAACTTTATATCTCAATGCTGGTATGGTTTCAAAGTCGTTTTTGTTGTATTGCCGGGATTGAGATTTATAAATCAATGCTAGTATGGTTTCACAGTCGTTCGTGCTGTATTGTCAGGATAGAGATTTATATCTTAATGCCTGTATGTATTCAAAGTCTTTTTATTGTTAGGATAGAGATTTATATCTCAATAGCTGTTCATTTCATATCATCATCCTTAAGAAATTTTTTAGAGAAGGGAGTGTTGTATTTTGTTTGTTTAATTTTGTCAGTTGGTTTTTACATAAGCTATATAGTGATTGTTAGGTTTGTATTTCTAATATGTTAATTGATTAGATCTGTGAAGATGTACACATCAAAGCAAAAGATTCACAAAGACAAAGATGCTGAACCATCTGAATTTGAGGTGTCTGTTGGACAGGTTGGTTGGTTGTTCCTTTGATAGTTCCGGTTATTGTATATCTTCATTTCATCATTTGATAATTTTGTTTCTGTGAAATAAAGATTGTAAGCTTTTGCTCAACAGGCTTTGTTTGATTTGGAAAACACCAACCAAGAGCTGAAAAGTGAATTGAAGGATCTATACATCAATTCAGCAGTGTAAGGGTGCTGTTTACAGATTCCGTTAGTAAATATGTATCTGACTGCACAATGGCATTTACTCTGTTCACTGCTGCTGCAGTCAAATTGATGTGTCAGGAAATAGGAAAGCTGTTGTTATTCACGTGCCTTACAGACTGAGGAAAGCTTTCCGCAAGGTCCATGTCAGACTTGTTAGGGAGCTGGAGAAGAAATTCAGTGGAAAGGTAACCCATTAAACACTTCCTAGTTTATGCTTTCGGTGTGTTTTAAAAGTTGTCTGTTTAGGAATCTGTCCCATCAGATGATCAGAATTAATGACATTTTGTCACTCATTAATAAGACATTTTTTGACAATGGTGATTTTCGTAGCTAACTTGTGCTTAATTCTGAAGGTGATTCATCTAATATAATATCGCGTAACTCACTTGCTGGATTCGATGAAATATCTCTTTTATGATTAGGCAAAAATTAGTCATATACTCTATTTTATGTCCTCTTTACACCATTCTCGCCACGGAATATCTACTATTAATTGTGTACTCCAAAGTCCAATCCTTTATTTCATGTTCTACACCTTCGGTTCATGTGCTACTTTTTATTAGTTTTATTCATTCATCTGATTCCTGTGCAAACTTAACGGTAATTATTTAAACATTTCATTTTTGGTATTTTCTGTACATTTTAGATTATAAATTAACTAACTTATGTAACATAAATCTGAAGTTATGCTCTTGCCTGCTTTTTTAATTGGATGACAGTTTGCTTACAGTGTAAGATGTGGCTACATTTTCATTTTTGAGTTGTCCTATATATTCTCTTGGTGGTTGCTGAATAGCTTAGATCATTCATTCAACCCTTTACCAGGAAGGGGACATTCTCTTTTAACATTACCTGTGTTTCTTGTAGGACGTGATCTTCATTGCCACCAGGAGGATAGTGAGGCCCCCAAAGAGAGGCTCTGCTGCTCAGCGTCCCCGCACCAGGACCCTTACTTCTGTCCATGATGCCATGTTGGAGGATTTGGTTGTCCCTGCAGAGATTGTAGGGAAGCGAACTAGATATCGCGTTGATGGATCCAAGATAATGAAGGTAGGCTGCTGGAATTACTGGTAGTTTTATCTTGTTGCTACTTTTTTGAGTAATCACTCCTGCTATGAGAAACTTTTTACAGGAGAAGTAGCTCTTTTGAGTTGAAAGTGTCCACTTTTACTGCTTATTTCTAAAAATATTGGAGTAACTCCTTGCTCTATCTAATTGGAAAGAAAAACCACTATCAATCTTTTGACACTTATCTTCTCTTTTATTTATAACTCCAAACTTTCCTCACTATCTCAATACTTGTTGTACTTGTTTTGGACAGGTCTACTTGGACCCCAAGGAGCGTAATAACACAGAGTACAAGCTGGAGACTTTTTCTGCAGTTTACCGGAAGCTTTCAGGCAAAGATGTCGTGTTTGAGTACCCCATCACCGAGGCTTGAAGATACAAAATAGTGATGTTTGATCTCTTTGTTGCAAAACTACAAAATTAGTGGCTACTTTATAAAGTTTTGGCGTTTAAATTTTGTTTTGAAGGCAGAGAACAGTATTTAGACAATTATTGGATCTCGTTGAAACTTTGTTACAATGCCCTTAGATTATTCGGCTTGTTTGTTAAATCTAGTGTTGTGCTCGTCCTCCCATTATGTGCTGTTGTACCTAGGATTTAAAGTCTTGTTAGAGTTTCATAATCTGGTGCTTGCAATTATTTATTGGCATACTTCGCATCCGTATCATGTTTATCCTTTGGTGACCCAATTGTTTGTCTCCATTAGGTTTTACATGGTATTGGTGATTCTAGGTTAATAATTATACCATATTTTTTTTGGAAAAATTACCTAACACATCTTATTTTATCATAATTTCTAGAATTTTCTACCATTTTAAAAAATTTCAAAAATTCCCTTTTGATTACATCACTTCTTTTTGGATACTTCCTTCCCTTTTCTTATGGATACATCCTTTCCTCTTTCTTTCTTATACAACCCTTCTCTAATGGATATCTCTACATTTCTCTCTTGTTCGGATGTTCCTCGCTCTGATACATCCCTTTCCTTTTGCATACATCCTCCCCTTATGTATTCATAAGTTTTGAGGGATTCTTGTAATTTGAAAAATGGAAAAGGGTCAAAATTGTCCCTGAACTATGCGAAATAGACCACTTATACCCTCCATTACATTTTGGGATCAAAAATATCCCCGCAGTTATCCTAGGAGACCACAAATATCCTCAAGAGTTAACACCCCAATTTTTTAGTGACGTGGCAAGCCACATGGGACTAATCCTTCCACCTAAGTATTGCCAACTAAGATTCACTACAAAAGAACTTGACTTTTTGTGGCGACTTTTGTCGCCACAAAATCCCAAAATATTGCCACTAAAGGTTATGAGTGATTTTTAGTGGCGACTAAGGCTCCAACAACCATTCGCTAGTAAAACCTATTTTTTCAACAAAAAAATATGATAATTAATTTTCGATTGCGACCTAATTTTCTAAAATAAATAACTTGCAATATCCATTTTAAAAACATCCAATATTATTACGAAAAATAATCAAAATTACTTCTCGATTCAAATCTCCTACTAAATATATAATGCATCATTGTACATTTTATACATTTACATATGACATAAAAATAAAACATATAGTGTCTTCAAACTCCTACTTAATCGATATCATATTTGGTTTTTTAAAAACAATGAAGAAAAAAACACAAAATTAGAATTTAATGTTAAAAACTTTTAGTGACGATTTTCTGGGCTTTTGTGGCGACTGTTGTTGCCGCTAAAGGTTTAGTTCTTTTGTAGTGAATCCTAATTGGCAACGCTTAGGTGGAAGGATTAGTCCCACGTGGCTTGCCACGTCAACAAAAATTTGGGGTGTTAACTCTTGAGGGTATTTGTGGTCTCTTAGGATAACAACAGGGGCATTTTTTATCCCAAAATATAACGAAGGGTATAAATGGTCTATTTCATGTAGTTCGGGGGCAATTTTGACCCTTTTCCGTTTGAAAAATAGCAAGAAAATAATGTAATTAGCTCTAAACACTATGTAAATTATATTTTTGTTCTTTTTTGTTTAAATGATCAAGAAACTATTGTGAATTAACTTCCGTTTACTATTTTAATCTACGTGATGTAGATATAAAAGCTGTCCATGGGATATATGGATTTTCTAGTAAAGGCTTATTTGTTACTATTGAATTTGTTATTTGTTTAGAAGTTTAACTTGTGGAATTACATTGGGGTGGGTATGTTGTTGTTGTAACTTGTACTAGTAGGTATGACCAATTGAAACTTAACAAAATATCCAAAACTAGAAAGCTATAGAGTTCTATGAAGAACATGAAACTGATATGTACAACAGCAAATGTCAAACAGACCAAGTCATGAGGAAATGTATCATACTGAGATTCCTTTTGGTGTATGAGAAAGGTAATACATGCTCAAGTGAAAAGAACAATGTTATAATTGTATCACTATAGTACTCTGATTCTCCTCTTGCCGCACCCAATCATGTTTGTATTGTAAGTTATGCTGCAGTAATCCAGCTTGTAAAAATGATTTGGCAAATACAGTCCCATAAATAGTAAGAAGCCAACCAACGTAAGGGGTAAACGAATGCTCTTGAACGTGTATGAATGGAAGTCCCTTGAGTTGTGTCAAGTATCCAGCTCCTCAGCCTGCAACTCTGTTGCTTAGGACACTTAATATGAAGGCCTATATAGTTTCTTCATTTTTGTCGCAGGGAAGAACAACCCAAGCACATGATAACAAGTAATAGACTGGGCAAAGGGAAGATGTTTGAATTAGAAAATCTTCCAAAAGAGTGATAGACTGGAATTTTTTTTCCTCCCTATGTTCATTTTTAGATATCCATAGGTATAAACTCTTTGTAGCTTGGAAGAACTAACTAAAACTAGTAATATATGAATACCATGAAAATAGACTTAAACCACGGCATACCTAAAACAAGTTATATATGAGTAGCATCAAACTAGACTAAAATCATAAAAACTTGTAATGAGCGGTCTAAAGCAGGCGTACCTCAGGACAAGATCACCAAACCAAGATATGTGGCTCCACAGAGAAACAAGAAAGAAATGAGTCCCCTGCAAGTGACTTTCCCTTCAGTAAAAGTTCTGTTATTTTAGAAGTTCAATGCTTTTTAGGTTGTAGGAGTGCTCACCAGATGACTCCCCAGCCAACACCAGTACAAGGACAGGGACACACTTCAGCAAACTTCTCAGCATCACTCGAGTTAACTCTTCGTGATATCAGATCATCGTATATATCTGCAACAATTCAATACATGTATAGGCATCAATATGCTAATGTAGAATTTTATCTAATGAGAAAGTACGTGAAACAGTTGTGTATCTCCAGAGCCTACCATATACAGAAAATAAGCTGTTCATTACACCTGCATATCAATAACACTTTAATGAGCGAAAATGAGTCTAGACATTGGAAAAAGAAAATCAATGGTGCATGAAACTTAGAGTTGGTAAAGGGATTGAAAATTACCAATGAACAAAATGATGTACCGCAGAATTTTAATCTTTGTTGTTTCTTGCAGAACCCATACAACAGCAAGGAAGAGAACAAATCCTGATGGTTTGAAGTTTAAATATCAGTTTGGCCTAGTTCTCATGGCCTCAAAATAGTAGAAAAACCTTGCAGGGTGAATGATCTTACCTATACAAAGGCCCCGGAGTGTCCACTGCACAAAAGAGATGAGACATGTTCAGCAAGAAAGGTACTGCAACTTCAATGTAGAACCATGCATATTAAGACCATTATCATTTAGAATATCCAACATCAACTAGCTCGAAATAAATAACATCTCCGACCTTTCCAATGGATACACTTGGAAATTTATTGAAGTCATTTCAATCCAAGATGCTCTGCCATTAATTATACATGTAATTTCATTGACAAGATGAGTTTTGAGACGCTCTAAGGGAATCGATTGTCACTCACATTTTTAGCCACAAAAAGAACAACAATTAGAGTGACCACTAAACAGCCTGCTGCAATTCTTGCTGAAAGGAGCTTGGTGGACGCAAGCACTAAAACCATTCCCCAAAATGCTGAACCAAGATCTATAAGGAGAAAATAGAGTCGATTCCATGAACCAAACAAGAGTGTCATATGAGTTAACATCAGTCATTGAAAGAGAAAACTCATCATGGGCATCTTACAGTAGTTTGTAATATTATTTGGACATAAGAAAATACTGAACATTATGCTAGTACTAAGATTATTTACATATCAAATCAACCGAACAAAACTAAATAAATAAGTTCATAGCTCATGTTGATAAGAAATTTGCTGCACGCTGAAATTAAAATGTAACCAGGGAAGTTATAGAAATATACATCCAGCTGGCAAGATGAACCAATATACACCTCCACGCGTTTGTGTGGTGCCACCCTCATTAGCATGAACCTGTATTCCCTCAACCTGCAGGTGATACAAGCATCACAAAATAAGCTAAAATAGGAATGACATAAGGCTGAAGATGGGACTATTTATTGACTGGTATATATGTCCAGATGTATAAGGCAATGGCGTAGCTAATTAGCAATTAGTACAGACAACAGAAAATGTTTCCCAGTTCAGTCAGAAATATATCGGGTATAAGGAACTTGAAGCAAGAATTGAAGACAGAATATGTTCAAGGTACTCTTTTTCTTACTTCTGCTATGAAGCATGATAATACGACAGTTCAACCTATGATTGTATATTACCTGTTATGAACCAACATACAAATATGCCCCTGTGGAGGCAAGCAAAGAGAGTCTATTGTGTATTGTGCTTTGGCAAAGTCTATATTTCTCACCTCCGATTCTTCTGGCATCTCATCCCCTTCTTTGTTACTGTTTCATTGCTTAGTTTTCCTATTGTAAATTCTCTATTTCAGTTCGTTAAATATAATCAATCTCATTGTTGTTGAATATTTGAAGTAGTGTTTACTTTATTAGCTAACAACAATCAATCTTTAACTTGCTTTAATTACTACAGCAATTAACTCTCAGGAAGTATGAACCAACAGCATCATATGCTAAATATTAAAATTTAAAAAAAAAAGAGAGGGGGATTTTTCACATGTCCGCAAGTAAGTTTGCAAGCTATAGCATGACTAGCTTCATGAATAAACACGGTAACGAGCTTGAAAGGTAGTAGCAGCACTGTTCTCCAGAGCTGCAAGAAAAGAACCAACAGATTGTCACCAAGAGGAAAGGCCACAGATAGACTAGTAAGTCATAACAGCTTAAATTTCCAAAAAAAGAAGAAGTGGAAGAGATGTTAATTTTAACTGTTAATGATTTACTATAACTACAACACTAACACACCATGAACAATCAAGAAAATTACAAAAATCAAATTCATAATTCATTGCTATGGGTCCAACATGAATCAAATACTTATTAATCCATGCTCGTGCTCGACTCTTTTATACTAATTTCACTCGGTTAAAGAATCAACCTTTAGCAGTTCCCCTCCCTTAACACATTAGTAAACTTCCTGAGTTTAGAAATTATAGTAGGCAATAATACACTTTATTCAGCACTCACAGCTCAATGCTTATACTGATGAAAAGGGGCCAAACCCAACTCACAGTTTAACATAAACTGCAAATGCTCTTTTGGGGTTAAGAAGCTTCTTACAATAAACAACAATTAAAGCGGAAAACAGAGCATCCATAGAAAGGGAAAGGATCATTCAAAGCAATACATATAACATTCCCACAATTAAGATCTATTGTTAAGACATCCAAGAAAGTTCCTTTTTCTTGAAAAAAAGAAGATAAAGGGGTTGTTTTTTCATTGAATTTGTAAGAGTATAAATGTGATCCAAAAGTAAAAAAAGGAAGAAACAAGAAGAGTAAGTACAGCAAGAATGACAACAGCACAAACGCCAAGAGTTGCGAGAAAAACGATTTGTTCATGCTTGCAACAATGCTTCAGCTCCCAATTTGGCATGCTTTACAACAGCAAAAAATTTTTTTGTTCAAACTGGTATTTTCAGGGCAAAAGGGATCAAGAATCTTTTTTTCTCAAGTGGGTGTGAGTGCAAAACTTTTAAAAGTGACTTTGTTCCTTCTTTTTTGTTTCCAGCTTGAAAAGTAAAGAAATTTGGAGGTGATGAGTTGCAGTTAGTGAACTTTTACACAATTAGCGGCTTTTTTTGTTTTTGTTTTTGTTTTTGTTTGTTGTGGTTAAAGGGCCAGAGTTCAGAGACTGAATGGGAAAAGAGCAGAGAGAATGAGATTGGCTGATACTCAATCGCAGAATGGGAATGGGTGTTAGTAGTTTATTCTGACTCCTCTCGTCGGTGCTATAATTAACTGCAGTGTGGGTTCTTGTTGTTTTAATGAAATTGAAACCCATGCCACATGCACCCAATCTCTCTACTCTGTCTACTTCATATTAATTGAATTATTGGTGATACGACACACTTTAGAAAATATGTAATGTAGTTAAAATCTCATTAAATTATAGGGTACATGACGAGAAGTCTAAAATTTTTTTTGAACTTTGAACAATTTACTTATTTTGGACTATAAAAAGTCTCAACAATTCATTGAGGGAGTACACTTTGTCTACTTCTACACTCAATTTAATTAACAAATAGTACTGACATAAGTCGTCTATTTAAGTTTATTGAAAATTGTCTTGGGAAAAAACATTTTGACTCGAGCATCAACTTTCTCGGATCTTGGTTTTGGATCTCATACACAATATAAGATTAAAGAAACAAAAAAAATACTGTATTACCCAAGACATCTCCATATTTCATTTTTGAAAGTCTAAATTTAATCAGATGAGGGTGAGTTCAGAATGTGCGTAGTCTACTATATATATATATATATACAAATGGAGCTACAAGCAATGAGTTGATTTGAATTCGTAACAACTATATCCGCCTTTGAATTCAGTGTATACTGTGCAACTTTACAAGAATCCAGACTTGAAAGAAAACGCCAGATGCCTGGTCCCTGGCATCAGATAAGCTACAAAAATACTACGGTCCTGAAAATTATTGTGACTAATCTTTTGGTACTTCAAACAAGTGCAGTATCAACGAGAAAACAAGAGAAATTCTCTATGCTGATAAAGGTTTGCTTTTGATCTGAAGTTGAGAACAAATTTTACATACAGTAAACTCACTCAAACACATGGTGATCTAAACAATAAGGTAAATACAAATTTAAAAAGTGGTAAACAACAAACTCGTTACAAATTTACAATACAAATGGGGTCATCTACCTTCGTTCATAGAAGAACATGAGATTGAATTTCTAGAAAAATCCTCAACAAAATTACTGCCTCCGGAAGCCCTAGTAGTACTAGTAGCATTTGTCACACCAGTTAATGTACTACTAGCATTAGTAGTATTTTTGGTAAAGGCACTAGAACTATCAGTTGTCCATCTGCTCACACGGCCGTGAATTGCAGGTTTCCCAGGTCTTGGTAACTTAAATGAATCACTTGAAAGAGAGAGATTGACAGAGTTCATATCTGGTCTATCTGAAACAGTAGATTGACAGCATAGTAGTCCTAACTGAATACACATTACTGCTTCATCAGCATCATAGTTTTCTAGGCTGGAATCAACCAGCTCCAAAGTCTTCCTTTCTTGAAACAGTCCCCATGCCTGTAAAATGAGAGGAGTAAACTTGTGAAAGCAAGATAGCAGACAGTGGACAGTAAAATAGCAGAGGCTTTCTATAATTTTTCCTTCCTAGAAATGATATATGGAACGTTTGCTGGCTTAAGCCATTTTTTCAGCATCTGAATGAAACTAGTTGACTAGTTGTTGGACAGACTGTGCTCTAAGATGTACTGCTTTAGGGATGCTCATGACGAGAATTTTGTATTTTGATATAAGTTTTGAATATCCGGTTTCCAACCCCACGTTGTTTTAGTATTTAGTGATACTCAAGTAGGAAATAGATTCAAAACTCATGAACCAAACACACTCAATCACATCAGCAAATACTCATATATTGAAGTTTCTGGACTGGAACTTACATAGCTTAAGAGGTCTGCCTTTTGAGGACCAAGCCGCCCATCACTGTTCTTCCTTCCACTCACGATCTCCAATAGCAAAACACCGAAGCTAAACACATCTGCCTTCACGGACAAATAACCATGTAATGCATACTCCGGAGCCATATAACCACTGCATTCAGTAGAAGCAGCTCAGATGCCAATTAGGGGAGGAGGAAATGGGGCAGAGGAATCTTTTTTCCCCTTTGGAAAACAATACAAGTAAAGAAAAATAATACTCACTATGTACCAGAGATTTTAAATGTATTTACATGAGTGCCGTCCTCTGGAAACAGCCTAGCCAGACCGAAGTCTGAGATCTTTGGATTTAATTGCTCGTCCAGTAATATATTACTGGCCTTAATGTCTCTATGTATGATTCTTACAGGGGCTTCTTCATGCAAATAGAGAAGACCTCTTACAATACCAGTAATTATTTGGAATCTCTTCGTCCAATCCAAAGATGGAGACTTCTCCTTAGCTGAAAAATCACATTTTGTTAGTTTTTCCTGACCTGATGGTATTAAAGAAATTCTCGGCATCATGAGTGTTCATTTTACCGAAGAGGAAGCAGTCGAGGCTTTTATTTGGCAGATACTCATACACAAGCATCTTTGCAGGTCCTTCTATGCAACATCCGAACAAAACAACCAGATTTTTATGCTGAATTTTCAATAATAGTTTCACCTCATTAGTGAATTCTTTTATTCCCTGTCTTGAATCTACGGATAACTTCTTTACAGCAACTTCCTGACCATTTGGCATCAGTCCCTGTGAAGAAAGTTAATGAAACATAATCAAGATAGACTCTGGATCTCCTCATTGAACTAAACAAACTATAGCAACCATATGAAGTTCATTAGGTCAGACAGCTGTGTCAATTATTAACTGGAGTTCTGGAATTTCAAAAATTTTAGTTTTCACAAACTGATGAGATTAGAATGATTTCTGATGTATGAAAACTTGTTAGTTATTAATGAATACCATCTTACAGGTTCAGTTCCTAAGCAACAGGAGTCCGCGATGGTACTACATGGAGAATTTGCATAACATTACTTCTACATAACATATGTTCTAACTTCTAAATAAAACAACAATCTTAAGAGGAAAGATTATATTATACAGCACTTAGTTTTAAATACATGCGAGTAATAATAAGAAAAAAGAATGTAACATTATACTTATTAAATTTAAATATATGTTCTGAATACATAACAATTACAAGAGGAAAGCTTAAATGAAGTATATTTTTAAAATATGAGATAATTTAATTAGTGAACCTCGCATTGCTTTTCTAGACATGAAAAAATCCTATATCGTGCAGCTTCTTATAGTTTCAAAACCATTAAATACAAACATTAGTAGAACGAAATGAGAATTTAGGGATTCATGAATAGGAGAATCGGAGTCACAAAAGGAATATTAATGCACAATGTAACAATTATGCAACCAAACAACCCCAATTCTTCCCCTAATTGGATACTCTTTCAATACCTAATTTGGATTTACTTTTTTTACGAGCAGTCTGCTGCACTAAGCTTTTCCGTTATGCTCATAGGGAAAGGCCGGACTAAAAGGTTTTATTGTAGGCCATCTTAGCCTGCATTTCGTTTACACAGCTCGAACCTAGATCCATGACAGCAACTTTGCCAATTATGCAGTATTAATTTCATAAAAGTAATGCCAAACGAAGTGAATTTCGAGTGTTCTTTTTGAGTAAAAACGAACTATGGTTACCTATAGAGAAAAATCAAAATCCGATAAGCCGTACGTACCTTGTAAACGGGTCCAAACCCTCCGTGACCAAGCTGATTAAGGTCAGAGAAGAAGTTAGTAGCAATTTGCAAAGCGCGGAGCTCATAGAACAAATCAAACGATTCTTCTCCATTGTCATCTGCTTCGTCTCCGCCGCGGCGTTTCTGCCGTTTCTCGAAACAACTGCATAAACTTGAGAGGAATCCCATAGAAAACAGAAACATCAAGGAAGGATGCATTCAGTTGTGAGAAAAGTTAACAGCAATTTTTTCCAAATTAAAATTTGTACACAAATTAAGATGCGTGTTGAATACTGCTTATAAAGGTTGCTAGGTCCCAGCTTGAAAGAGACTGGTGATCACGTGGACTACAGCAGCCGGCCGTATTCAGCTCTTATATACTTTTACAGGGACGGATAGTTTGAATACGAAAAGACTATACATTTCCGGCAGAAAAACACATTTTTATACGTATTGCGAGGCGTATGCCAAATTGATGTTGAATTTATATCTTAATTTTCATGTTGAAACAAGTGCTTATTACGTAGAGCTCACACGAAGGATAGAGATAATCAAGGATACAAAATAAAATATTCAATCTGTTCGTTGTCCTAATATAATTTTTTTTTAATTGCTGATTTATCAAAAATAATTCTTATATTTCGTAAAAGTAAAAATGAGATTTGTGAATATTTTATTTATTGCTTGTGAGTTGTGTCACAATGAAGGCAATATATCATGTGGGGTAATAAGATTGTGTTATTTGAAAATTAAAACACATATAGAAACACCATTAGAAGGTTATTTTATTGTAATAACAATTGATTAAGAAGCAAAGTCGTTGGAGCAGTTGAAGACTTGAAGTATTGACTTTAATTCCATGTGCATGGAGAGTAATTAGTAGATGAAGACCTGTAGTCAATTTGACTAAATAACTTTTTGATCTTATAGTAATATTTTTATTAATTTTATACAGAATAAATAATTATATAAATAAAACTTTTTTTGTAAAAAGGATAAAGTTGAGGGACTTTTTTGTTTTGTTCGTCTTATTATTCTGTTGCTCATTCCTATTTCAAATTAAATGGAGTACTTATTTTGACTTTGAAATATGAGTTAAAATTTACCAAGTACTTTTTTAGTGTTTGTTGAAAACAAATCAGTTACCTTTTTTTCTTTTTTTGATGAGTCTACTTATATGTTGTTTTTTAATCTAAAATGTACGTCTGAACTGGTCTATAATTAGAAAAGTACATGTAATTGCGACGTTGTCAATTAAGAAAATTAAAGAAGAATAAGTGAGAAGTTTGATTTTGAAACGTAATTAGTACTTAGTAGTTTAATATAGTCATAATAGATTAATCGTATATATTGGGAGGATAAATCATGGATT